TCTTTTGACATGGACATTCTTGATTTCGTTTTTTGAAAAAGACCGCTCTCCGCTGCAGTTAGTGACCATTAGGCACAGAAAAATTCTTGTTGCAATTTCCACATTTGGGAATGTTCCCTCCACCTCCAGTTTGTCCCTTCTCAAGAGAATATGCAATGCCAGAATACTTTCAGCCGATTTATAACGACTAGATGGCACTGTTATCGACTACTTTTATGAATAAAAGTTGTAGTAGTCTGTGTGACGGCTAGATGGCGAAACCTGTAGCTTCGGTAAAATTTTGATTATCATTCACAGAATTTGTGTGCCCTGGGCCCGGGCCCCGCGACCCCTTGGGTTAAGACAGCCCTGCTATTATAATCTACTGATACTTTATAATATGAACATTTCATGAAATCTGACTCAATACTGAAGTAGCGCCTTGATTATTGCCTCAAAATAAATTAAAGCAAAAGACAAAGAACCATGATTTCGTGTAATAATGCAAATAACGGGTGTATATCTCCACTTGGAACTTGAAACTATCGAGGTTTTGCTTAAACGGTATAGTCAAATCGATACCTATGCAAAAAACTAACGGCTTAAATATTTGCATTGCAACAGTAGAGTAGCATTAAATCTGCTAAATGCCTATTTTACACTTTCTTTTTCATTCACAACTTACTTTAGTGTATTTACACCCAAGATAGAATGGATGCGTGATTGTCAAAAGCAAGGACGGCGTACAGGGCCGCATTCAGGGCTATCTCCGAATGGTGGACTACCACTAACGTCTTGTAAAACAAAGATGACAGTTTTTAACAGAAACAGAAACTTAACAAATTACTCAAATACACTTAAAAACAACAACAGCAACAACCAAGCAAGGTGAATACGAAAACACGAGCACGCAGTGATACACGCGACGGACGGTGGCCTGAGTGCAACTCTGCCTGCCTTGCCCCTGCCCCGCGCATTATTCCGCCAGGAGACCGCTTGAAATTTAATGGCGAATTAACCAATAAGAGGCGTTGTCCCCACCTGTTACCGAGAGATCACGCGCTAACTGTTATTATTTAATATTTACATCTCATCTTGAATTTGGATTCATTTTAGGTACGACATAGCCCTATGGGGTAACTAATGTAATGTTGATAGTATGTTCAGATTGCAGAAAAGGGTGGTTAGTATCTTTACCCATTCCAAGTATGAACACTGTATGTCTTTGTTAAGAAATATAAGAATAATGTCATTGCCATCTATGTTCGTATTCTATACGTTACTAAATATTCATCAGATTCCCGAAAACTATGTATAACTCATTCCGACAATTACCGAACTAGGAGCGTAGGAGCGCTTGGACTTCCTAGGTTCAGGTGAGCAGTTTCCGCTCGCAATTCCTTGAACTTGAACTACCTGCATCACATACGTGAGATGAAGAGACTCAGGTTCAAGAAACCAGTGTTTCTACAGCACTGAGTTTTGAAACTACGTGCTTAACGTTTAGTTTACAACTCATCATGTGCCTCAGTTTTTTACACATTTATGTCTATCCTTGATATTTTTACATACATGTATCTTGACTATAAACAGGATATATTAAAAACTATACCCTCATGACTTTCTGATGATCTGCTATCTGCATTATTAATAAAGTACCTGTATGATTATCGAGTTACTCGAGTAATTTGGTCATTAGGCGAAAGCGAAATTTTTTTACGCCTCAGCGTTTCCGAGCAGTAGCAGCCTCCGAGAATGCTAATACATATAGATACTGGTTTCCTTGAAAACGCTAAACATAAAGTAAATACACTATGTTTAAATCTCATTTATGCCTCATTAAAGCAAATGTCCAAATTCGCACACTACTGTTGGTCAGAGGACCATAAATGCTTGGGCAGGCAGCGACAAGCGACACGAAGCAACAATCAAGTTCTTTGTTTTGACGCGGGGTAAATCAGGTTTGAATATGGATATATAAAGAAGTTTAGCCGTTGTTATCTAAAGATTAACTCTTAACTAGATTTTCATCTTGATATTGATGAAAAGTTGGAGCCTATTTTGAAGTAAAACTTTTATTAATAGCATTCGACAGCAGGAAATAAAATTTACTGTAGGAGTTGTTAGATCTTATTTCTATGGCAACTTTTATGAAACTTGTCATGACTGACAGTTAAGCGCGGTTATGTTACTAGGAATTTATGTTTTGCGGTAGCCCAAAATAGGTTTGCATGCAGTTATATAAAAGAAAAATACAAAATTTAACAAAAAAATAATGGATGGTTCAGCTTCTGTTTGAAACGGGAGTCGCCAAAGCATCATAGCCAAATTATGTGAAAGTATGTAGTTTCTATCTCCCATTGAAAACATTTGAATGTCCGTCCCATCCAATTTAACTCTACGATTACTGCTAAAAAGCTATGTACCTAGTATTTTCCGGAAAGCAGTATGTATTTTGTGGTTCGATTATTCTAAGTTACTATGTTCATCATTAAAGTGATTATATAAAAAAAAGAAAGGAGAGAATTTTTGAATTAATGAATTTTGATAAACTAAAATTCGTTACATGATTCCATCGGAATCAATATGTTGACAGTCACTTTCACGGAATTATTGCAGTTATGTATAGTTACTCATATCGTTACCATTACCATTACTGTTGTCACGGTTCAAGTAGAGTAGAAAAATGATTTTTTATTTGTGGGGGTGTTTCTGGGTCAATTCGGTTGGTTCTTGAAATTTACATACATCAACAGTCATCATGCATATTTTTCTTGTAATCGACGTTCCTCAACAAATTACAAAAAAATAATGTTTCTGATTTCGCTACGAATAAAGACTTCGCATGGGAAAATAGATGATAGGGAGTGATACAGTAGGTTATATAGACCCCAGAAGTACAAAAAACGTTTTGGTCTTTTTGACGAATAATAGATTTTTTAAATTTACTATTTTCAAAGTTGAGTCACTTATATTAAAAGTTTGTAGAACTCATCAAAAGAAGCTGATAGATATTGATGAGTCCTACAGGCAGTTAAAAATGAATAACTCAACTTTGAAAACACCCTGTATATAAGCAAATAGGGGTCATAAACGGGGCTTCTGGACTTGCTTTGGAAAAACGGTTGCTAATGTGAGATACAGTAGGCCATTCATGCCAGAAGTGCAAAAAACTTTTTAGTCTTCGGCCATTTTTACGAATAATTGATTTTTCAAATTTGCTATGTATAAACATTGGGGGGCTAGAAACGAGGCGTTCCGGACTTGCTTTCGGAAAACGGCTGGTAGGGTGTGTTAGAGAAGATTATATTCATGTGAGAAGTGCACAAAACTTTTTGGTCTTCGGTGGTTTTGAGAAACTATACATGATTACATAACATCTAAGATATTGGGTTTCAAAGGGGGATCAATTTGGGCCGTCTGCGAACGATGTAGTACGGCTTTGTACTCAGTGTGAGTCAAATACAGTTTTCCTAATCAATTAACGTGAAAACCACATTTCTCCAGGTTTATTTTCACGTAATTTAAATTTTTCGCGTTAGTCCTCATTTTGAGGAAGTATTTGGAAAATCCCGGTACTACTGCCTTTTTATCGTTTCAATCAGAACTTCAGCCGCATGTTTTTTTAGGGTTTTCGAGTCTCTTTGAACAAAAACAGTAAGTTGTCTCGACGGTTGACCGTTTTCGAGTTATAAGCGATTCAATGTCTGTAAATGTCATTTTCAATGCTTCGCCAACAGAAGTTTATTAGATCTGTTTGGTGATCTTACGGAGGATTTACAAGATTCTACGCTGTGAGCGACATTCTTTGACCGACACTGCCAGGAACATGTTAAACAAAATCATTTTTTGACATCACTGATGGTGGACAGGCTGAATTTATCTGAACAGACTATTTCAATCCATACTTTTCTGCGAAGCAATACAAAAGTGCGTGGGTTCCATACAATCCTAGTGGTTCAGACAGTTGCCGAAAATAGTAAACGTGTCTGCGGATTGCAAAAAAAACAGTTTGAACTGAATAAGAACAAAATTATATATTGTAGCCGTCGACATTGTGAAAGGGTATGTACCTTTATATTGGACAGTTTTGAGGTAATTATGATTTATTTCATTACAGCTCTTGTTTCATTGGTCACTAATATTAGTAATAATAGAATCAGACCATTATTGAGGAAAAAAAACTCTATGTAATATGTAACAATCAGTCTTTATTACATATTACTTAGGTAAGGAAAGCTAAAACAGTGTTTCGTTTGTCTCTTAAAACACAAAATAAATAATGTCTTTTGTTTCTACCAATTTGTGAAAAAACAGAAAACAAAACAAAAATAACAACTCATGGTCTGTTGCACCAATACCATTTAATGTTAGTTTAGACGGAAACCTAGCATAATTTGAAGATTTATATTGCACAAGTACTTAAACCCCATTTAAAATCTTGTTGAACTTGAACGATCAATTGTTGCAGTTTAGATCGTCTAACTTATTTTAACTCTCAGAATCGGTGGATTCGACTTTTTCATCCAAAGACCAAGATTCGGGTGGATCCTGGACAGAAAGTTCATCACTATGCTTAACGAGCCGCAAAGCTGATGGTAAATTAAAATACTTAATAGTATGTTTCGATTTTGGTCCAATACCTTTAATACTTGTGAGACAAACATAGCAATGGTCTCTCGGTTCTCTCCAAACTATTGGTACCGCAAAGGGCATTTTACGATTGTCGCCTCTTAACCAACCTGTTAACAACGTTACACAAGTCTTACAACATATATGAGGGACCCATAGTTTATCTTGGTCGGCAACTTTAATTCCAAAATAAAGTTCGTATGCTTTCAACACAAGGGGAGTCAAAATACGTTTTTGGAATTTAAAAGTTAGCTCTCCGCACACATAACAAAAACTGTTCAAACTATTTACACAATTTCTAGGCATTGTCTATAAAGCTAGTCTCGATCACAATAAATTAAAAACAACACACCGTTTTAACAAAAATTAACAGTAGTCAGAACATCTCGTACTCGTCAACACAGAAAACGTAACTGACTCGGCTGCTATTAATCTACTAATAAACCCAATATGCTCTCTAAATATAGAGCTCGCATATAATAAACAGGAATAGACAGGTCTTAACATTATATATGTGCGTCATCGCATAAACGCCGAGAAATTCAGCTATATGAGATATTACGTATTGTAATTCATAAAAGTAGATGTTACCGAATATCTGTGGGTGATAGAAAAATTCTGTTTTCAGATTTGATTTAAGGGTGTCAAAATACATAAGATACACCCAAAAATTGTCATGTCACAAATCCTGTGTGATATCAGTGTATTTTAAAGGATAATTTGGATACCCTTAAACTAATAAACAGTGGTTTTCTATAAGAATTATTCAAAAACCCAAAACAGAAACTATTTCTTAGAGATTACGAATTATGACATTTTTAGGGAATTTAGTTTGTACAGTTGTGAATTTTCTTTTTGAATTCAATAAAAAACGTCCCTAGATTTCTGTAGTCTTAAAAAACTCAAATTCATTGTTGGTGCAACAGGCCATTAGAACGTAATATAATGATCATAATGGACAGTCTGATATTATATGCCATGAATAACATTTTCAACATTTTTCTCAAGAAAATTTGACTTCTTTTGAATCTGAATAAATTTGCGCCCAATAAGATATAAACATAGTCAAAGTTTCTGCGGAAACTTAACCGAAGCTCTGATCTTGATCCGAAACTGGCCGAATCCTTCCAAAATCAGAATTGAGCAGAATTGTTAATAAATATTTACTTTCATTTCTTTGCCTTATTTAATGTATTTAATAATCGAGCTATTCACCATCCACATCGCAACATAGATATTTCTGCCTTGCTCTACATGAGTACACCCAGTATGAAAAGCTACCTGAATATCCTTTCCAAAGAAAAGAATGTACGCCGATGTATTGGTTTGTCAATTTGGTAGGTAAATTAGACAGAAGTATGCATTAAAACTACACAATTTTGGCGATAAACGATACTTTTGCAGTTGTTACCGACACCTCCGCCTATGATGGGGTAATAAATATGGTTAGGATATTTAGAGGCGCATCGAAGGCGCATCTTTTTTGTTTATGTTATGTTAAGTGGCTAGAGAGAGGCTGGCATAACGGGGTACATTCTTAACGTGGAATACGTCGTAAATCAAGTCCGCGTCTATTCATTATTGGTAAAACAAAGGACAAAGGAAAGAGTATTCCAGTACCGTTGTTTTAAATACCTGGATTCATTTAAACATAGATACTTTTTTAATATTCTAACCAAAAAAGAGATATACGCACTTTAAATTTGATATTTATTTATGTCCTTAAGTTAGACAAAAATATATAATAAAATAAAAATATAGGACTATGATAAATAAAATTTTAAATATCATTTTTATACCCCAGTGAGGGCACTCAAATTAATCGTATAATAAACAATATTGATTTTTATAAAAAAATAATAAAATAAATCTTATTCAGCAAATATATGAAAGTTACACAATGAACACCTACATAATTAAAAATGAAACTTCCCTTTTTATATATCTATTTTATCTGATGGTATCACATACAAATTATAACAGGTATTTATTGTAATATAGAATGATAATATTTAACAACCACATGTGCATACGTAATCTAATCTCGTTCCTTAAGCGACCTGTCTGTGCCATCCACAACCACCGCGAACGTGTTCTAACACGCTTACGATGCGTAAAGCGAAAAGAAATATTCATCAGGATAGCCAAACAGTATTCGAAAACAGGAGGAATCCTGTATTGGAAAATACAGGATTCGAATACCGGTATTTGAATACAAAGTCGGTATTAGAATATAGGGATTCAAAAATGGTATTCAGAATCCAGAATGTACTCTGAATATGATTCAAAATATCCAGTACCTATTTGTCTGTTCTGACCTATTCGAACTCTTTGGATAACAGCGATATCTGTTCATCCTACCAGAGCTTAGAAGAACGTTGGGGTAAATGCAAGCTCGCTCGCGAGTACTATGCCATGTGCTTTCTCTGAATTTCAGGTGTCTTTCAGACTACAGACGGCAGTGCACCGTCGCGACGCGAACAGCTGAACATCGCTGTTGACCACGTGCGAGCGGCATTTGTTACGTTGTCGTCGATTGTTTTTGGCGCGTCGCTGACCGCGATTTAGGGGTTGTTCAGTGAGGAAATGAAATTTTGACGTTTTGCTGGCAGGAGTGCTTCTGTGAGTAGATTCCTGCAAATATTATTCCCAGTATAATTTTCTTCATCTTAGTGTAATTATATTTTTTTTGTTACTCTGTCTCGTCTATTATTTTCATTGCGACGCGTTCTGAAGTTGGGGGTGGGACAATGAAACTTTGATCGATTGTGGTGAATGTGCTTCTGTGCATAGGACATCCCTACAATTTTTGTTTTACTTTCTTACTGGCGAAGAAGTATTGTAATATCGTCTCGTCGTTTGTTATTTGAGCGGTCGGCAGGACGTTGGGTCTTGTCTAGCAGATTTTTTATTGAATAGAAAATAGGGAAAGACGAAAGAAAGGAAGAAACGGAGAAAGGGGAAAAAAGGGGGAAAAGAATCAATTAATAAGAGGGAAAATTGTTTGATTTGTATTTAGAGTAATGCCAAAAGATTGATAATTTAGAGAGCTAGACGGTGTTCTTTTATGTTTAGGTACTTGAGCATAGTCCACTGCGACACTCAACAAAGGGTTACTATGGAGCTTGTGCTGTCGGAACGCTTCCAAGTATTGTAATGGCAAAACACATCGAAATTGTAATATTGTGTTTTTTGTTTGTTACATGGCGAAACATGTTGAAACTGAGATATTATGGTTTTGGATGTTATATGACATGTAGATCACGTTAAAACGAAAAAACTACCGCCCAAACTTCGTTTTCTGACGTTTCACCTGATCATTTTGTAAGTGTTAAACATTAGGGGTTGGTATATTGGTGGAGGGCATACATCAATTTTTTTGTTAGTATATTTATACGTTCCCAACCTCGGCAATTCTACACACCTATTGGACGTATTACAGACATCATAGATTATACCGTACATTTGGGTTTACAGTTTAGAAACATACAGAAATGTGTTCGTCTTTGCTTCTGCTGTCGGGGTTAACCGGCGGACGTACCGGTCTCTATAAGTGTCCTAGCATTACTGCAGCGTCGCGTTGTCAGATATGGGGGAGAGGCAACGTTGCCAGATGATGATACTACCGGATCTGGACCTGTTTGACTGTCTTGATCCGTTTGATTTCCCCCTATCCATGTGCGTAGCTAACCTATTTTCTTAGAGTCCTTCTGAGCAGGGGTGATCTGATCGGCCCTAAATATCGCTTTAACCGCAAGTATCCAACGAGGGCGGAGTAAGACAATTCATTCATTCTTAGAGTTCCTAACTTGTGCAGAGCATAATTCTTTATGAACTGAAAACTGCGTTACATGGAAAGTGCAGAGTCAACCTACTCGACGCTATCTACTTGAATTGATTGATATTGGTCCAAAAACATATTTAAAATTTTAACATTTACACGTAATGCTTTATGATCTCGACTGGTATGAACTAAAACGTTCATATGTTGCGAGACATTCATCATTCATCAACGTGATAAGTGACCTACGACAACTGTTTATACAATAATTCCGTTATACATCCATAAAGTAAGCTGAGAAAGGAAGGGCAGCAAGAACCCGTATCGTTCTTTAAAATATATATATATGTTTTCAATGTTACACACTACAAAAAGCAGAAGGCCGACATTCCTGCATCTGCTAAGTGCTTGCTAATTGGTGTTTTGCTGTTCTCTGCTGTTGAGCAAGCAACTCAGATGCAAACTCTACACTAAGTGCCGGAACACACTTTAACTCAACAGTGATTCCCCCTTAATTCAGCTAGCATGCCAGAAAAGTAGCACAAAAGAATTTGAGGAGAATGCAGGTTGTAGTACCGAGTTTCGAATTTTGCAAAGTCTGCAAATTATTTTCTATTTTTTGAGCTACTTGTGTCCAGAGCCTAACATTAATGTATCTATAGGAATTTATAATAAGTGACATATAAATCCGAACACTCAGTTTAAATGGTTTTATTTTAATAAAAGTTGGAGAATGTATTTATCTTACTGTAAATAACAAGTGAACAAATTTTCAGCCTTATCAGTTGGACATTCCGGTTTTTATACTGCTTTTTTTTAATTCACTAACGCTCTAAAAATGAATATTTCAGCCGCAGTAAAGAATCAACGTTGGCGGATTTTGGTTCTTGACATCCTTTACGATCGGTTACGATGCCTAGAGTACGGAGACCTGTAAAGTTTGGCAAACGGATCTGCAACATCGGGGTATCGGTGAGGGGAAAGCAAAACATGGCTGGTTTCATTCATAAAATGCCAGCGGCGTGCGGCATTTTATAAAAGTTTGGGATTATTTCATAATTGGTTTAAATTTAGTAAACTATACGTTTATGTTTCACTTTAAATTTGGGGAGTATCTCAATAAGCCCACAATGATATGGAGCATTGTCCATAATAATAAATAAAGTCTCGGGTAAACTCAAAAATAGCTGTTCTCTACAATCTACACCATGTAAAAAACACTTGAGTTTGTTTCTACACTTCAACAAACGGAAAAATGTCTACTCACTTCCCAAAATTGCCACAATTCAAAAAATCATGATAACTGCGCGATTTAAAACCTAAATCAAGCTAGCGTTTTTGTCAAAGCCGTAAATAAAATATATTGTTCAAATACAAATAGATACTTAACGTGGTTTTTTACCTTGAGAATATATATATATATATATATATATTATACATCCGCGATCTTATAATAAGCTCATTTACTTTAAAAAGTGCCACAAGCCGAAACATGAGCAGAATTAATTTTTATTTTATAATCCGCATCTTTCTGGATTCCTATTGTTGCAATTTTGGACTGTTGATATGGATATTTCTAGAGCATCGGTGTCGCTTAAATAGAAACAAAGAACTTTAAACACATTTCATATCCGTTTAACTTATAACCTCTGTAATAAATAATACTTACATTATACAGCATTTCAAAATTACATTTCACCTATTGAATTAGCATTGGTGTTCGTCAACTTCATCATTATCATCATCGTCACTGTCGTCATCAGTTTCGCTGTCGTCATCTTGCCCTATAGTTATTATAACTGGTTCCATTTCCTCCATAAATTGATCATTTTCCCAAAATTTATCTTCAATGTCCCTAGCATGTTGACAAAATTTCTGCCAATCATTAATGGATATTAAGGACATCGCTTCCTGAGTAACTTCTTTCAGTGCGGTTAAACTGAAGTTTCCAGTGGTATTGCGGCTTCTTATATGAAATTTAAGCTTTGCCCAAGCTAATTCTATTGGGTTTAGCTCGCATAAATAAGGAGGTGTTCTTAGAGGAGTATGTCCATGTGATCTTATGATCCGATCAACTACATAATTTTTTTGGTTGTCAGGGGGCTTATGAAGTAAGACCAGATCGAACAAGTCAAATTTTCTGGCAGTTGCCTCATGATTTATGCCTATAAAATATTTTATTGTATAGTTTGATATGCACATGCATGTTTTGAGTCATAAGTACCTTTCTTTGTCAACCAGGCTATTATATCTTTTTTCGAAGATGATTTTGTCGGGGTTTTATCTTCCTGGACGGAATGATATGGAGCATTGTCAAATACTATAACCGAATTGGCAGGTATATTCGGGAGGAGTTTTTCTGTGAGCCAGCGTGTGAAATTTTCCCGATTCATCTGACCGTGGTAATCGCCTGTAGCTAATCCCGCCTTAAAATATCAAACAGGCATTGTCAACAAATCCATTTTCTGAACCTGCATGCACTATAATGAGTCGACCTAAAATATACAAGACGATTATATAATATGTTACAAATCAGAGTTAAATTTAACATATATATATATATATATATAGCATTTTTGCTTACCTGTAGAACCTATACTGCTTATTACACCAGAAACAGTTTCGCTCTGCCAGCATTTTTTGAAAGACAAGTCATTGTCCACCCAGGTTTCGTCCAAATTAACTATATTGCGCCCTTTTTCACGATATCTACGTATTTCACGGATGTATTTGTACCTCCATTGCAATATATTGGGCCTCTCCATCAAAACTTTTCTTTTATTTTGACATTTGCGCCAAAAAAAAACCATTTGATTTTAATAAACTCCTGAGTGTTTCCCTAGAATAGGGGAAATTTGAGTGTTCTCGCAACTTTTGTAATAACTTCCTAGTTGTCGGGACAACTTTATATTCAAGATAAAATCTGTTTATCAAATGTCTAATAATCTGAAAATCAAAATCTTCATCTTTCTCAACAAGAGACTGACGCGGTCTTTTTTTTCCGGGACTGGATAACATTTTATTCGGGTTATTTTCTAGTCTTTCTTTATCTTCGTTATGAATTTTCCTAACAGAAGATACTCCGACTCCGGTATAAAGGGACACCCTATCAAGCTTACGTTTAAGCGGCAACTTGAGGGTATTGTTTGCCGCTTCCTCATCGCAAACCCTATAAATAATCATCAGAATGTTAGCTTAGCATTTCCTTGTCTTTTATTTATATTCAGACTCAGTCGTCAAAAACTACAATTATTGCATATTATTATTACTAACCTATAAACATTCGCAATCACTTCTCTTGTTTGGCTATGAAGCGTCTTTCCGCGAGTAAATTGGTTCATTTTAAAAAAATAATACAAAAACGAATAACAATATCAAATAACAAAACACTAAACTATTCAAAAACACACAGCACTAAACATACAAACTTAATAGAACAATAAATAGTTAACAATAATAGTTGTAAAACTTATACACGACAATCAACGGAGATAAAACCTACGCCACTGGACTTTTCAATAGTATGGATATTCTAAGAAAGGAGCAAAAAATTGTCTGGGACGCTACCCAATAGGGAGTCGAATTTTCTCATGGCGACAAAACATGTGAGGATATGCGCCAATCAGATTCGTTTAGGCGGTGTCCAATATACCTTTCGGGTGGTTGTTGCCAGCTCAACCGATGTAGATAAGATCTTTGGAAAAATGTTTACTTATAATACGATTCAGTAGTAAAAAATAGTTATTAAATACAAATAGAGCTAACAACCCATTAAAATTCTCAGTATTTTGAATTATTATTTTTTGGAATTGTGAAAAATCGATTTTCAAATCATTGAAATTACTTTTATTATTATTATTGCTTTTTTGTAGTTAAATTTGGCAATATCGAATATTTTCGGTCGCATTCCTTTCGCTGTTGCAGATCCGTTTGCCAAACTATACGATTTCGTCAACTTAGTGAGTTTGATAGGGGCCGTATAGTGGGACTTCGGGAAGCTGGAGTTTCTTTTCGGGCAATTGCAGTTAGAGTGCAAAGAAGTGTAGACACTGTGGTTAGGTGTTGTCAGGCATGGCTTCGAGAAGGCCGTACGCAAAGAGCAAGGGGCACTGGACTCCGCCGTAGAACAACAGACCGTGAAGATCGCCGCCTAAGATTATTGGCCTTAAGGGACCGTTTCTCCACTACCAGGTCCATTGCAAATGAATGGTTTGCAGAACACGGAAGACCTATTGGCATGCGAAGTGTTTACCGACGAATGAGAAGTTTTGACTTGTTTTCATACCGGCCACACTGGGTCCTCCCTTTAACTCGAGAACACCGACGTAATCGCCTTGAGTGGTGCAGACAACGGTCACTCTGGGATCAGGAATGGAACAGTATTGTCTTTAGTGACGAGTCTCGATTTTGTTTAGGCATGCACGATGGTCGTGCCAGGGTTAGAAGACGACGTGGTGAAAGGATGAATCCACAGTTTTTTGTTGAAAGACATGTTCATCACACTGTTGGAGTTATGGTTTGGGGTGCTATAGATTATGGTTCCAGGTCACCTTTAATCTTCATCAGAGGTAACATGAACGCGCAGCGTTATATCCACGAAGTTCTAGAACCCCATCTTTTACCCTATATCCGACCACATGTTGCAAGAGTCACAATAGACTTCTTTCAACATAATGATGTCACATTGTTACCATGGACACCAAGATCTCCCGACTTATCCCCAATTGAGCACGTGTGGGATATGATGGGTAGGAGATTGCTCAATTTGCAACGTCCTCCTCAGACTCTAGAAGCACTTCGAGAGGAGTTGGTGGTTGCCTGGAATGAGATACCTCAGGAGGACATTGACAACCTGATCAGAAGCATGCCTAGGCGCGTTGGAGAATGCGTAGCACATCAGGGTGCATCCACACATTATTAAAGGTCAAAGGGCTTTAAAGCAGTGCAATCATTTTGAAATTTTTATCATTTACTCATTATGCTTCATTAAGTACTTATAAAAAATTTTATTAAAATAAAACCATTTAAACTGGGTGTTCGGATTTATATGTCACTTAGTATATGTTGCTTCTTAATTAATTTGAAAAAATATGCTTCTTTATACAGACATATTTTTGAAGTATTACTGCCGATGCGTATGTTGGGGTTAGATTTCGGGGTAAATATGACATTTACACGTAGATTCAATGTTACTCCTCCACTTATCCCGTAGTTTATCTCCATGTTATAGGTTGTCTCAATGTTGAAGAAACATTTCGGTCATTAAACTTCAAGGTACATTGAAAAAAATCGCAAATGTTAGTAAGGACTTCTTCGACACCTGTTTCATTTATCGGTCAAGGAAACATGTGTAATGATCTTAAATTGATTTACTGTTTGCTCTCACCGTCATACATATCTTTTAAAATGTTTTAACATGATCGAATACGCGACTTTTCTACTTCCCACACCTGCTGGCGGGAAAGTATTGTAATCGTGAAAATTTGCGAAAATTAGATGTGTTTTTGATATCATATGACATGTATATCACGAAAAACCACGTCACTCATGTCTGTATGTCTACCCGCTAAACTTATAACCGCTTATAACTAGAGAAGTACCTTTCGGATTTCTGTAAAATTTTTACACTATCTTTCTACTATACCAAAGATTCAAAAGCTTTGAAAAAGAATTAAAGGTGCTTAAACCTCATTTGAGAGGATCGGGATTATTTTTTGAAAAATCCGTCCTTGTTGAGTTTCTGTTGTTTTCTAGACTTTGACCTAACCTGGTTCCTAATCAAATTAAAAGAAAAACCTGTCATTAGTTGGTAAAAACAAGAAGATTCCCTATCCACTTTACTTATAATCTTGGATAATAATTATAATTACTGCAATTTAATTATTGGTGTTATCACCACCATTAGTCTAGAAGGAACCGTGTTTATAGTAGTAATTAAATCCATCAAAATCTTTCATCGTCTGTGGCAACATTTCGAAAATAATTTCTAATTCTCAATGCCATACGGCTAAAAAAATTTTTGTTCTATGCTCTGGCTATCTAGGTTATTCTTCCTGTGTGTACGCGTATAAGTACGGAACGCTTGTGAAATATTTGATATCAGATTTAAGATCTACCTCATATTATATGCTATGACATGCTTTATGCTATATTTCATGGATATTAGGAACTGAGAATGTGATTATTTTATCCGTTATTGTCTATCAGAATGATTCGTAGGACCTGTGGAATTGTTTAAAGCTCATTAACCTTTCACAGCTTGGTAGGTCTGTCAAGTCTGGTTAGTCTTGAAAAAAAAAGAGAAGAAGAGGGAAGATAAGGAAGGAAGAAAACAAAGAGAGGAAGTGTGTAGAGTTGCTTTGGCATGGTATTAAAATTGAACTAAGAAATTCCGTTCGAGGGTTACCGTTAAAAAAATTCAATTTGCTTGGGCCTAAAAATGCAGGACTTTTTTGTTCTTGTATGCTTAAGAATGTGCTACTGGGAAAGCCTGCACAAAAGAAACATAGATGCCTACGTGCTTGAACACTACACATGTTACAACTCAAGGATAATAAACCTCAGGAGGATTCAAAATAAACGACTGATTTAGGCAAGGACGTGCCTTTAGCAATACACCATTTTTCATGGTCGTGGACATGCATTTAAGGCCGTAAAGAATACAACCAGAAAAGATCCTATAGGGTTTTACAAAATGAGAGCACTTGATATAGCAGAGTGTGTTTCGTAGACGATTTGCTGTTATGTATCAGCAACCCAAAAGATTTACAGGACAATCTGGAGCGAAGAGTTGTTAAAGAGAAACCTGAAGATAAACATTACTAAAGCGACAGTCATGACTTCTACAAAAGGAAAAACACTTAAAATCATATCTAAAGGAAAACATATAGATCATCAAGTACATACTTTCAAATACCATGGTATCCAAATAGAGGAAGACGGAGCAATTGTTGAAGAAATAAGAGAAATATTACTGAAGGCATAGAACCTGTATCACAGCATAAAAGATTGTTTGTATTAAAAAAGATAGATAAGTAGAAAAACCAAGATTACTGTATATAAAACCATTTTCATATTTATTCTGAGTTTTGGAAGTGAAAAATTAGGAAATAGATTATAAGAAATGAGTTACGACTTAGATCCGTCTTAGAAAACCCAGTTGTAATACGCATAGGAGAGACTAGACCGGTAAAACGGATATGAAAGGTTTAAGTTATGAAGGAATAAAGAGAGGGAGACCAAAGATGACATGGGATCGATGGAATTGCCTCAATGCTGAAGAACAGAGGGCTCAGCTGGACAGAAGCTGTATGACAGGAAAGAGACAAAACGACGTGATCGAAATTGGAGCACAATAAACAATTTGTTTACTTCTTGCCTCCGGGTACCTAAGGTCACAGATTATATAATATACAAGAATGTAACATCTGATCAAATCATTACTAGCTTACCTACTACCCACACATCTTGGGACTCCAAAATCCGGAAAACTGGTCATTTGAATTGGATTCTGTCATAGTCTGCAAAAAGATACATGTACAAAGTTGGAAGTCTTGTCATGTATTGTTGCATACGTAATTTGGCTATAAACTATGAAATTTACCAAAAGAAAATCATTGAAACGGATTTGGCCTAGGAATGGGCACTCTACCATTAATAAAGAGTAATTCAAATTACTAGTAAGTGATCAAAATAGTAAAAAAAAGGTTACGTGATTTTGGCACGTCACAAAGTGGTACCATATAAGAACAAAATGACTGCTTGTCACCAAATGCGGTCCAAATTACATTTCGGCAGCTCTGCCCTATGTCGCGACGAACCTCGAAATTAAGTTTGACCAACAAAGATCGCAATACATTGGACCAGTAACCACTTACACATGTGCGGCTTCCAAAGAGACCCTTCATAGAGACGTAGACATCCCTTACCTATCAAACATCGTACAGCAACCCTTTGTTGCGTAAGTGGGTAGAAGAGGAAGTTCGCAAGAACACAAGATCGCGACTCGCATTGTGAACAACATTAAAACGTGCCATATCAGATCCAAACATTTTTTTCACAACAATCAATCCCTAAATTGACATTTGGATCATTTCAAAATTTGCCAATACTTGCTGACAATGCCAAGCCACCCGTTCAAGCGACGCACTTCCTCCTCTTTGCTCTTCTCCTTTCTTTCTCTTTTTTCTACCTGTTTTTGTCTGGTACCTGGACAAGCCGACCTGAAAGATCTACTGATTTTCAAGATTCCCCAAGAGCAAATGTCCTACGTTCTGAGATTGATTGATGAATAAACCGAACGCGGAAACTTGTATTTTTATCAGTTATATATTTTGCATCTTTCAACAAAATAATAATAATAATAATAAACCGTCTTTCATTTTCAGTATAATAAAAAAAAATATATATATAATACCAGTGGCGAAGTCTAGCTGACAGCTACTCTACTCAACCACTGGAGGGGAGCACCCAAATAAGCGAATAATTGAATTTGTTATTAAATAGTATGTAATTACATATGTCAAAATCAATGAGGTAGACAGAAAAATAGAGGAACACGCAGTAAAACATACATGTACAGATTATGCTTTTAACTTTTAAAAATTATACAGGGCGTACAAAGAAAGGAACAACACATTCTAAGTTAAACAGATCTAGCCACATTTTTGATATCAATATTGCTTTTATACAGGGTGTTTCAGTTTATTGTTGCATAACCTTAAGATTCGATAGAACTTTCAAAATTAATGCACAAAGTCTATATAAAAATACAGGGTGTTTAAATTTACTTTCTAAAATAGTTTTTTTCAAATATTTCAAACAATACTTGATGTATAACAGTGAAAATTGGTATACAAGGTTTTTTGGTACGACAAAACGAACCATGGGCATAGTTTTACTGTAGCCGCTAGAGGGCGCTCTCTACTGTACCTGTAGTGTATTAAAATGACCGAAAAATTTTTCTTAGTGTAATTTTTTGCTTTTTGAATAAAAAAACTGATTCTTCGCACTTTTCTGCATAAAAAAGCTCTCTTGTGAGTTTTCGTTGTAGTTAGCCGTTTTTGGGATATTTCGATTTTTAAGGTTTGATGCATTTTTAATTATTTATGGGAAAATAATATTTTCTGTTTACATTTTCGATTTGGGCTTTACAAGTAATTAAGATGATCGTTTAGATTGTGTTTTTAAACACAGCAATAATTCCTAACTCCAAATAAACACAAAAACAGAATATTAATTTGTTTAATTTTCCAATATTATTTTTTACAAATTGAATTAATTATTTACAACTAAAATGCTATTGGATAGTTAGGACAAACATACAAAATCTAAAGTAGTTGCTCGAAATGTAAACCCAATTGTTCAATACACAATTCACATCTACGAATGATCGAACGTGGTATAGCATTATTCAAATAAGGCCTTATTTCATCATATGCATTCCTGATTCTGTCTATTAGCATATCTCTTGTGGTTACGGGAGTCTGGTACACTTTTTCTTTTAGAAATCCCCACACAAAGAAATCTAATGGATTTAGGTCAGGGGATCGTGGAGATTTCAAAAACCATTTTCAATTATTTGGCGATGCACTCTTACAAATACTGAGCGAGTTGGATGTCGTCTGTTTGGAAATCTTCGTGCGTATTCTCTGGCTGCTTCTGCTGCGTTTCCATTTACAAAGCCATACACAAAATGAATATCCGCTAACTCTTGATTGGAGAATAAAAATCGCATTTTTATAAAACTTACAAAAAAAAAAACAGGTAAAAGAAACTAAATTTCGTGCATTCACAATTGCAAAAAACCTTTCAGGTTTCAACAGACAACAAAACTAACTGTCAACTAATTGACGTTTAACCTTATTCTGCTTTCAATTTCAAAAATATTTGCAGGCACAGAATACTTCTAAAAATTATCGAGATACTGACTTTTTAACGTTATTTTATCATAAATAATGCATCGAACCTTAAAAATCGAAATATCTCAAAAACGGCTAACTATAACGAAAATTCACAAGAGAGCTTTTTTATGATGAAAAGTGCGAAGAATCAGTTTTTTTTATTCAAAAAGCAAAAAATTGCACTAAGAAAAAATTTTCGGTCATTTTAATACACTACAGCTACAGTAGAGAGCGCCCTCTAGCGGCTATAGTAAAGCTATGCCCATGGTTCGTTTTGTCGTACCAAAAAACCCTTGTATTCCAATTTTCACTGTTATACATCAAATATTGTTCGAAATATTTAAAAAAAACTATTTTAGAAAGTAAATTTAAACACCCTGTATTTCGGAAGCCACGCATTTTTCGACCCATGTTTATAAAGACTTCATTAATTTTAAAAGTTCTATCGAATCTTAAACTTATGCAACAATAAACTGAAACACCCTGTATATACATATACACACATATATAAGAGTTACACAATAATAAATAAATAAAAAGTCGAATATACAACATTGCATCATTGATCCTACTGCATATCAAACAAATAACGTTTTAGTTTGAATTTGAACTTGTTCATATTAAGAAGCTTGAATTCTTGTGGCAGCTGATTATACATCCTGAAATACTGTTAAGTAAATTGATTCAGTCGTTAGTACTCAACTGACGATTTATCTGCAGAAGCTTAGAGATTCCAAAACTTATCATCGAACCCGCCATGTCGTTCTTATACATCTATTTATACATTCCGCATACTTCTTAAAAGTGTGTTTCTTACATAAGACATGAGTTTTTGAAAATTCCCAGAATAGGACTTTCAAAATATTTGACCCTCCTAAAAATCTAAGTACGTCCTAAGGCGATTAGAATCCTGAGTGGTGAAAGTAAATGTTGTTTTTTTTTAGTATTTTGATTCACCTAAAAGATGTTTTGGAAAAATACAAAAACAAGTTTGGGAGAAATCTGACCTTGTTATTTTCCCACCACTACATAGATTTTTGAAAACTAAAAAGCGTTGCCTACCATGGTTCTACTTATGCTCAAAAGTGTTATCAAAATCGGTGTAACTGTTTTGTAACGGATTAGTAACTACTGAAGGCGTCAAAGTAGCGTTTATCATCTTACCACCTGACAATACCATGTTCATGTCACAGTCATGGGATGGCACGATTATTCTTATAAATATCTTGCGAAACATTCAAATAAAAGAAACAATGTAATAATTAAATGACGCTTTTTCAATGAAACGCGTAGGAATTTCTCGTCGGTGTGTCTATTTAGTATCGCATTAATCACATTATGCCGCGAGTATTAAGACGTTTCTTTAGTGGGCATCTGAGTCTCCATCCAAGGGCAAGGTTACGTCATTTAAATATTTAAATCATTAACAGAAACTAACAAGTGGCCAAAATGCTATGTATATTGATTTGAAGAAGTTTATTTCACTTGAGCTGCTAAGTTTGTTGTAAATAGTACGTCCAGCTGAATCATCACGAGAAATACTGGCACTTATCTTCAAAAAAATTATATGAGGGAGCTTCCCAGTATGCTCCAATTAATAATAAGTATATTTATTTATTCAAACGCATTATGAAAAATAAAAATATGAAAGAAGTATCCATAGGAGGAATTGCCTGTACATGGATCATTAATGTTGCAATTGTGCATAGCATTAAAACGGAAATAGTGATACAACTAATCAACGAGCCATTTGATGCTTACATTTACTATTAATTTGTGTGTATCTGGCCTTGTTAAAGAAAATATCCATTCTTTTTTTTGAAATTACTGCCAAACCGTAGGTTCTGTATATTGTCAGGAAAATTTACGTATAGTTTTGGTCCTAAATCAAGGCGTGCTTGCTGTGTTCCTCGTAGTTTATCTCTTGTATGGTGATTGTGTTTGATTTTTTGATCCTTACCAGTAAATTTGTGATAGTGGAAGAAAGCATGTACGAGCTAAAGTTGTCTCATGTCATGTATGTGTTTATCTTTGCATAAAACCTTAGTCAAAACAAGTCAAAAAGTTCATATGACCGATGGTCCAAAAGTCAATAGATGTTTGTCTAAATGCTTTATATCGACCACAATCACCACAATCTTACTAATGTTTATAATCTAATCTAAAACGTTTTTAAATTGGGTAATTAACAACAAAATGGCATTAAGTTTTTCTAAGTTAAGCCAAAATTTGTAGTCAGTAAGTAAGTTTCATTAAATTGCAAACGGTAAAACAGTGCTTAGTATGTTGTTTTCTTTTGTTCTCGTACGTCGTCGTGTTGATTTACAATGTTCTCGAATCAAGAGTTCGAGAAATGTTGTTAGTTCACGGTGAAGCTCGTCAGAATTCAAATCTTGCAGTTCAAATTTATCGTGACAGATTTCACTAACGGGTACACCCAGACAGAAGGACATTTGTGCAAGTGTACCAAAGATTTCGAGATACAGGAAGTGTTCTGCCCACTAATATTCGTACTCGTGAAAGGCAGGTAACTGTAGAGCAGGAGGAACAAATTTTAAATATCGTGGAAATCAATGCAGATATCAGCATTCGGGAATTAGGCCGCCGCGTAGGACTATCGCATACCATAGTCCATAGAATCCTACGGTAAAACTTGCTTTATCCCTACCATGTACAACGAGTGCAGGCCTTGTTATCAGAAGACTATCCTCGCAGATTAACATTCTGTCAGTGGTTTTTGCACAAAAACATTGAAAATCCGGATTTTTTAAAAAACATTCTAGCGACAGACGAATGTACTTTTAAGCAAGACGGGATATTAAATTTTCATGATACTCACACTTGGGTCCAAGAAAATCATCATACCATTCGTGAAGGTCATTTCCAACGTTTTAAAATAAATATTTGGGCGGGTATTCTTGACGATCAAGTAATTGGCCTTTTCGAGTTACCCCCAAAGTGGTCAGGAGAAGGATACCTTAGCTTTCTAGCCAATAACCTACCAGAACTTTTAGAACCGACCTTAGACAACATGCCATTACAACGGAGACAGAGTATGTGGTTTCTTCATGAAAGGAAACTACCACACATTTTTAGAGTCGTCATTCAGTATTTGAATGAACATTATCCAAATCGCTGGATCGGTCGAAATGCTCCTGATCCTCGAAAATGGACAGCAAGGTCTCCTGACCTCAATCCGATGGATTTTTGGTATTGGGGAGAACTTGAAGGGATGGAGTATGGGGCTGGTCCAATAACAACTGAAGCACAACGTCGAGAAAAAAATTTTAATGCGGCTAAGAAGAAACTGGGTTCGTCGTAATGAAGCTTGTGTGGAAAGTGGAGGACGACATTTTGAACACCTTCTTTAAATACAAAATAAGTGCAGTGTGGGTTTCAAAAAGAAAAACAATGTATGTGTTCCCTATTTATAAGTGGATATTTTTAGTACGTTCTATAAACTTTCACACACCAGGTGAAGGGGTGAGACAGTTAGTGGTAAGTCCGTTTTTTTAAATGTTTGCATTTTACGAGCACATTATCAAATAATGAAATCATATCTAAGAGCCAAAAATAACAAACTCCATCTTTATTTACACTGCGTTCCGTCGTAATTTGCGTCTGGCATTGCGGCGTTGTCATATTTTATTTTACTTTAAAGTCGCTTTTCTCTAAAAAAACCCAAACCTATTTAAATAATGACTATCATTTTTTAAATATATGAAATATAAACATCCCAACGGAAGTGTGGATCCAGGAATATGCCAAGTTATTTTGTATCTAATGCTTTATTAATTACAAATTTATGATAACATAGGAAGAAGATGGTAAACATGCGTTTTGAAGTAACTAATGTTCTGTAATTATATTAATATTAAGCCACTGATAATTTCGACAAAATCATTTTTAATTATGTTTTTTGCGACTTAGTCTACCGCCCGCGCCCTACCGACCACCTAGCAGCTTGGCAACTTTGCCTGACTCAGCACTCGCATGCTCGGTTATCGCTTAGCATTCAAAGCAGCACACATACGCTCATTCAGATGTTCGGCACGCGTATTCCAAAAACATATCTCCATCATTAAAGTTTTAAGGACAAATGTACGAGGAAATCTATGATGTATGAATAGCGCCTGATGGGTGAATAGAATTGCAGGAGTTGAACATGAATAAATTGCTAGCACCAAACAATTAACGTATACTCTCCCCCACCTCTTACAACTCCAACATGCAAGACGGACGGAAATAGGTGAGATGGTTTTTCGTGATGTACATATTAGATAACATGGATTGGATTGGATTCCCAAAGTACGTTTCTTGACCGCAATCGTCAATTGAAGCTATCACTCAAGTGGGTCATTAACTCCAAGCGCAATCTGCCTTGTACAATGAACTTTTTTATACCAGAAACTTTCACTTACTGTTAGGTTTGTGTGCCTAATATGAGATATTTACATAGTAAATTTTCTTTCCTTTTTATGAACTCAATACGAACCAAGCGTTTTCATTCGGTAGCTGCGTTGCGTAGATTAAATATTTGACATCTATATAATTTCCAAAGCGATCGGTGTATGATATGTGTTTAGAAATGTTACCTTGAACTACTGGTAAAAAATTATTCTCCGGAAAAGTTTTTAGATCACACTATTATATTAATAAGTAACAGTACCCGTGAATTGATTTCCACAGAGCATAATAATAGTACATTACATACCTTGGTAGAAAATGTGCCATTACTGATCGATCATTTTTATATCCTGAGTCACATAGTAGGCCGAGAAACAGGTGATTTTTTCCTACAATTTTGGCAACAGTAATTTTTCTTAGAAGAGTCTGGACATTTTTGAGACATAAATGGGCGCAGAGCAGAATGTAAAAGAATATGTGAATTTACTCTTCTTCCAATTTTAAAAAAAGCAACTAAAATGAAAACGACATACGCCTAATAGTAACAATATCTAGCTTCATTTGATATTAAGGTAATAAAATGGATCATACATCATTCTAATATTAATTACATCAAGTTTCCTGGCACATATGAAAATCAAACCCCTCCGTTGTTAAAGGCTTTACCCACATCATGTGTGCAATTGGTCTAACTCCATAATCAGGTACTCCAAGTAGGTGCGCGGTGACCTATTATAGCAATAGCTGACTAACTGCAAACAGCTGCAATCAGCCTCTCATATGGTTTTATAGAGTTCTGAGTAGGCTTGACAGACTAGTTGAAACTAAAAGAGTGAAATATCGGGATGTTTTGGACTGTGGGCAATAAGGAGGATCCTTTTTTCAAACTTTCGTTAATGTTATTTATTATATTACTTGGCTTCGTCATGCCTACACTTACCGGCATTTACATATTTTCATTAATACATAAGTTAAAACATAGTGTTCTATTAGCAGCATCTCCAATATTTCACATCTCTATGTGGTTTAATATGGACCTAATTTGTATTTATGATGCGTCTGCATCCGGTATTCGCAAAATAAACAGTGCTGTTTAACGTTATACACGACAAGGCATTATAAAAAAGGAATGCTTTTGCAGTATTAATATCCTTAAGCATCATACCATACCACAGGAATGTCGCACCTGTTCCTCCTTTGCGGTTAGCTTCTAGAAATCCTCGACCAACTTGAAAAAAATTGGCCTGTCTATATGCCATCATTCACTCATCTTTGTATTTGGTCCTATAGTAGCTTTGTATTGTTGAGCTAAGCGGTATTTAGTAAATTACTATGTAGCAAATCATGGATAAGATTATCAACTCCTCTATACAACATGCCCAAAATAAAAGAAGATCCTATAAAAGATGTAGTATGCAGTTTCTTTTGAATGAAGCCTCTCGGATTTGGTTATTCTTAGATAACTTCCGGATGACGTTTTGTATTCACTGTAATCGTTATAAACAAGTAACAAGTTAGGATCTAATATATGTGTGTCCATAGAAAACACCTAAATTTTTGGAAACCCTGGTCTTAGACTGAAAAAATTACAATCATAATTTTGTTTTAGTAGATTTTTATGTATCAGTCATTATTCTAATACCAATATACTCTGTGATAGTGGGAAAATATGATAATTCGTAATCGGTGACACGAAAAACCTATATTTGTGTGTTACCTTTAAATGACTAGTATGCTATTTATTTCAGTTGTTTTTCATTTTTAAAGTTTTTTACTAACGCTTTTGTCTGTTACAGGTTTCACCACAAGTGACTCGGTAAGTAATAAACCGAACAAACACAAAAATCAAATAGTTAAAATATATTCATCGAAACAAAATATATAATCTTACCTCAAGTAGAACTTTTTTAATATTATCTAATAATCATTAATACTTACATGACCCCAGAAATGGCTAGAACTTGCCCATCCTTATCCATCTAAAAAAAACTTAATAGAACATCAAGTCAAATGTAGTCATCAAAAACAAAAAAATCTATACAAAAATGAGTTTTAGCTTATTAGTTAAGGATAAGGCCAAACTGGCGTAATAATAGGGCTGGTTAATTTCCCTCCAATATAAACGCATTTGATCGAAAATTTCAGAAACCATCGATGCTACGTAAAAAAAGTAATTGAAACAATTTTGTATGAAACTGGATTCTTCATCATTTGCTTCCATAAGAATTTCCATACAGTCAACAGGTTACGATAAATTTAAAGTCAAAGATACGTGATGATGATATTTTCGCTTTTAATGGTTAAAGTAACAATCTAACCGAATAAAAAGTACTGTCTTCTTTTGTAAAGAATAACACTTTCTACTAAAAGGTCCTTTTGTTTTTTCGACACCTCCATAAGTCTTTGTCTATGATCAATAATACCATTCTAAAGTGATTGAACACTTCTTTACTGCCACGCGTAAGTTCGGATAATTTATGTCTTCATCATGAAAATGCAAGTCACTCACTTCTGTAAGTCTGCCCATTGGCCATTTTGTCACTGCGCAGCCTCAGTCACCATTGCAATGAATGGAAAGGGAGTGATAAGCATTATCTACTACATCTCCTCTTTCATTAAAATCCCTGCAATGGTTACTGAAATTACTCAGTAACAAAATCACCAATAGACAGACTGATGAAAGTGAGTGGATTTGATCTTCATAGTACGAGCTCCTTCCCACTTCAGTTGGCCCACTTCAAGATTTGTAGCAAAATATGCCTTTATAAACTAAACAGGCCGAAACTATTTACTTCTAAAACAATTTATTTTCTCAAAAACATTTTAGATACACTCTAGCCGTAAAAAATACATATTTGAAATCACTTAGACCTATAACTAATAGAACATCTGAACAAATAAACAATGTGCGAATAAATGCGCGAAGTTAACAAAGCAACAATTGAATGATTATACGATTGGGTAACATCACCTTTATTTTTTATTACATCTGAAATTCTTTGGGACATAGTGTTAACCAAGTTTTGGCAAAAATTTGGTGTAGAACAATCCCATATTTCTTGAACCTTTTGTCTCAGTTCGGTGATTGTACGAGTAGGATGTTGTCGTAGAACCTTTTTCATCTCGTGCCACAAAGTTTCAATAGGTGACGGATCTGGACTGCTAGAAACCCATTTCAAAAGTGGAACATTATTTTCTTCCATCCATTTTATAGCCTTTTTTGAGGTATGGCACGCTGCACCATCTTGCTGAAACACAAAATCTTGGCCGGATGTCAAACATTCTTTCATCACTGGTAAAAGCGATTCTTCTAAAATTGCCAAATTTTTGTTAGTATCCACATTTCCATAAATAAAATGAAGCTTTCCCACTCCTTTTGATGATATACTGCCCCAGACCATAATGGATGCTGGAAATTTCACTTTTCTCTTCAGACAATCAACATGGAATGCTTCATTTTTTTTGCGAATAACTCTACTGAGACTGTCACCAACACAAACTTCGAATCGGGCCTCATCACTCCATTGTATTGCACACCATTGTTGAGGTGTCCATTGTCTATGTTCTTTAGCCGATTTTTATTTTGCAGTTGAGTTAATAGTGGCTTTTCTTTGGCCTATAAACAAGTTGTGCAACTTGAGGGTTTTTACTTCACTTTTTTTTATAAGAAAACATACCTTGCAAGTGCTAAATCCCAGTTTGTGGGCCTCTCTATGAGTTGTGGACCTCGAAATTCTCCTTCCAACAGCGTTGCTCCACAGAGCACTTAATTGTAAATAATTGGCATGCCTGTTTTTCACGATTATTCTTCTTAATGCTCTTCGGTCGGCATTTGTGATATTACTTTTTTTCACATATCGTGGCTTAATATTAACTGAGCCAGTTACGTTATATCTTCTAACAATATTTCTCACACTGTACCGCGATAAGTCTAACAAAATTGCAATTTCTGAGTTTGATTTCCCAGAATTAAAGAATTTAATTATCAGTAACCGAATTTTCTTACTAATAACCTTTCCTCTACCCATTTTGAAATCCTTCACTACCCAAAACTATTTTAAACGTATTCTGACAGCTGTGATTAATAAAAACAATTGTCATGGCTTTTATTTTCCACAGCCACCTATGCGTTATAGACTTATTTTGCATTGAAATGAAAATAGGTTGATATGCTGTAATTGCAACATGTGTTATTTTTATGCTGCAAATTTGATTAGGGAGTGATAAAGTTGGTGTTTTCTACTATATATTATCAAAATATAAATTGTTAATATTTTAAACCTATAACACCCTGCTACATTTTTATTATTTGTGTTTGATAAGAAAAAGACTAAGATTTCAATAGTTGGGTCAACTGATGTGGGAAGGGGCTCGTAGTAGTAGTTATAGTAGTAGTAGTATTTTATTTGGTCAAGTACAAAAACCCAATGTTGAAATGGCATGTCAAAATAGAGAAAGAAATGGCATAATAATTACAACTTTAAGTTTGAACAAACTGAAGACAAATATGATAACGCAAATTCATAAAGTATGTATGTAATGAAAACATCACAATTTATCAATAAATTCCATACCTACGCGTAGTAAGAAAAAATTGATTTACTTTCAAATGGTATTTTTGATCATAGATAATGATTATGCACTTATCTCCACGTGAAATAATGTTGCATGTGGATAACATGGACATCGTATAATACATAGCGTGTAGACTGTTTTAGTACCAATTTCCAACTTTCCCTCCTTATACTCCACGAACCATCAAGGCATCGAAAAAACATAAAATACATACCTCTCTTGTAGCAAAGTTTATTCTCTACAATAAATAGTAGTGTTTCTTACTCTTAGATATTTAGTTTAGCCATTATTAGCGGAAATACCATTAGACGTATTTTTACCTTCTGCTTACTCGTAATCTGTTGACTATACGTCAATTGTTAATCGAGGGGAAATTGTTTCTATTACTTTTGTTACATCGTTGGTTTTCGATATTTGCGATCAAACGCGTTTATCAAAATGGCGGCAAATGCCCAGCCCTATCATAACCCCAATTTGAATTCATCATTTGGAAGCAATAACCTAACGACATTACAAAAAAAAATAACAGTCACCAAAAATGTAGGATTTCCTTATATAAAATCTCTATACTTCTTCTCTACATCTTGCATGATGACTTACTTGCTTACTTACTATGCGAGCCTTAAGACAATATCACTAAGTTCGCTCGGTTATGTTGTTAGCTTGGCGATTATCGTAGACTTTTTCGATTTGATTAACCTTAGCTAAGCGTGTTTTCAAGCAGTCTTTTTCGTGGACCATGTTTTGAGAGTCTCGGGAAGTTCAAACTTTCTATCAGTTATCGAATCTATAGTCCATTTTGGAGTGTGGAATTCTTTACATGTTTTTAGTCCTTCCAGAGGTACCGAACGATTATTTATTGATTCCCTGTTTGCTGATTGATTTAGTAATAATTTTCATAAATAAATCAGCAGTCCATAAAATCATATATCGGTGCTTTAAATTTTATCAAAATCTTTCTGCGACGTTGAGTGGATAAACAAAAAATACCACCAAAATATGTCGTACTGGCTTTCGTAGGGTGGTTTAAAGAGTCCGCTGCAATACATGCTACGAAATTCTGCAAGTACTAAAGCACCCTCACAAGGTCGAGCATTTTTGAAAAATCTTCAACTGCACGTATACAACGCAATATCCCTACTAATATTTTAAATGTAAAAGTATGTATGAATGATTTTACGTCTGTATGTTTGTATGTATGTATGTTTCGTTTTCACGCCAACACACCCGAACCGATTTTGATGCATTTTGAAACAAATATATGTATAGAGTAGACCTTTGAGATGGACCTATTGTTGTGAAGATTAGGCTTGAATGGGTTGAAATAAGGGCTAAAAGCTACTATGAGGAAACTATTATTTTTTAAATCTAGGTACACAAATATGGATTTCATATGCTTGGTTCTTTGATACAGAAAAAAGGGTATCTACAAAAAAAATTAAATTCCACCTCTAAGGATGTAAAGTGAGCATTCACACTCTTTAAGTTTTGGTGGAGAATTTCGAATATTTAGAATTTGGTCAGCTTAAATTTAGGAGTATGTTTCGTCTTCAATTTCTTGAAAATAATTATTATTAACAAAATGTTGCAGAAATTATATCCTCAAGTTGTGGCAGGAGGGGGTTGAATATTTCTATGGGGAACCTGATCAGGTTTATTGAGATTTATCTGGAACACATGGCTGGATCAAGGGGTGTTACGGGCAGATATACAGGGTGTCCCAGAAGTCGACGTCAAGCCGAAACCGGGTGATAGGCAAAGTCATAACAGCTATCAGAAAAATATCTAAAAAAATTTTATGTATGTGTTTTGAAAATTATAGGTCTTTGAAAAAGATATAGAAATTTCACACCCTACGGCAGTCTGTCAACTCCTGTTACTACAAATATTAACTTTTTTTGGATTTTATTTTTACAATGTAATGATGAATAATGCATCTTCAAACTGGTGGCTCAACCTTACTGCCAACTTTTCTCGTTCAGGAAAAATTGCCACTTATTTCCCAACCAAGTATTCCAAAGTAAAACTTTGCTCAACTTTAACTGGCTGTACTGGAAAAAATGTACTACGAGAGTTTGGCAAGTAACCTTAAAAGTTGGCGCATTTAATAACGATTCCAAAATGGTATAACACTTAGAAGATTACTTGTTAACTTATGCACAATTTTTATTTGAAAAAAAACTGATGAATTTTTTTCAAAATTTCCTAATTAAACAGCGATTATGAAAATGCACAAGGACCCTTAAGGATAACTGTTTGCACAACAGTGGGCGTCAAAATGCTGCTGATGATGATTTACCTTTACAGCAAATGCTCAAACTGTTTTCCTTCAGCCGCAATACACGCTCGACATCTTCTTAAAAAAGATCGGGTTATTAAACGAGCGAATCCACGGTTATTAAGAAACTCATCTGCTTCCAATAGTCTTTGCCGTAGCTTGTAGCTGGCCACGGTATTGTACCAGACCGCCTTATCCATCTGTCTGGAAAGCGATATTGAGATTTATCTTCTCTCATCAAATGTGGGTTTGCTACGTGCCACTCGTGTAAGTTATGCAGGTTCATGTACCCATCTTTCTTAAATGTGGTCTTATCCGACCATAAAATTTTTTCAAAGAATTGTGGATCTTTCCTGTGTCTTTCTAACATTGTGCGACAAAAAGCAACTCGGGGCTCATAATCCCGGAGCAGGAGAGGTTGAACACGCTGTATGTGGTATGGATGAAGCACATCACTTACTTGCTATTGCACACTTTGATACCGATCAGTACTCCTTCGTTTACTGCGCATCTTTACATGTTCGTGCTTGTTGATTTTGTACTGTTACTAATTTTGGATTCGTGAACTGGACTGTTGATAGCTTGTGATTTGGATTTGGACTGTTTAATTGCTCTTCAAAACAACAATTGCTTTCCTTAGACTATCTTTGATAGTGTGATTGTACAGTGCCGCTATGTCCGTGTACACCGTACAAGAATATGCTAACATGCACTTCATTTATGGGGAATGCAGATGCAACGCTAGTGCTGCAGCGAGACTTTACTGTGAGAGGTACCCGACTGCAGCTCGTCATCCAGATCATCGAGTGTTCACAAATGTGCACCGCTTACTGTTCTCAGAGGGCCAACACCAAACCAATCACACGGTGAGGGAAGATCTTTCCTTCCTTACGAAGACGTGGTGCTAGGAGCTGTCGAAGAAGACCCGAGTATTTCAGTGCGTGCAATAGAACTTAAAACAGGTGTGCCCAAAAGTACAGCCCATAGAATCTAGCAAAAAAACGTGCTCCATCCATACCACGTACAGCGTGTTCAAGCTCTTCTGCCCCGGGATTATGAGCCCCGAGTTAGAAAGACACAGGGAAGATCCACCGTTCTTTGAAAAAATTTTATGGTCAGATGAGACCACATTTAAGTAAGATGGGTACATGAACCTGCATTATTTACACGAGTGGCATGTAGCAAACCCACATTTGATGAGAGAAGATAAATCTCAATATCGCTTCAAGAAAACCATTGGACAGGAAATTTTAAATGGTAAAATAATCGGTCCGTTTGAGTTCCCAGAGATTTTGACTGCTGAGGTTTATTTAGGTTTTTTGCAAAATCATTTAGAAAATTTATTGGAGGACGTGCCACTGAGTATTTACAGGGACATGTGGTTTCAGCATGATGGCTGCCCAGCGCACTATGCACTCTCAGTGAGAGAGTATCTCGATCAAAACTTTTCAGGCAGATGGATAAGGCGGTCTGGTACAATACCGTGGCCAGCCCGGTCACCAGATTTGAATCCGCTAGATTTTTTTTACTGGGGAACTGTAAAAAAAAGTGTATTTCAAGCCGATTCAAAATGTAGCTGAGCTACGGCAAAGACTATTGGAAGCAGCTGAGTTTGTTAATAACCGTGGATTCGCTCGTTTAATAACCCGATCTTTTTTAAGAAGATGTCGAGCGTGTATTGCGGCTGAAGGAAAACAGTTTGAGCATTTGCTGTAAAGGTAAATCATCATCAGCAGCATTTTGACGCCCACTGTTGTGCAAACAGTTATCCTTAAGGGTCCTTGTGCGTTTTCATAATCGCTGTTTAATTAGGAAATTTTGAATAATAATTTTCATCAGTTTTTCTTCAAATAAAAATTGTGCATAAGTTAACGAGTAATCTTGTGTTATACCATTTTGGAATCCTTATTAAATGCGCCAACTTTTAAGGTTACTTGCCAAACTCTCGTAGTACATTTTTTTCCAGTACAGCCAGTTAAAGTTGAGCAAAGTTTTACTTTGGAATACTTGGTTGGGAAATAAGTGGCAATTTTTCCTGAACGAGAAAAGTTGGCAGTAAGGTTGAGACACCAGTTTGAAGATGCATTATTCATCATTACATTGTAAAAATAAAATCCAAAAAAAGTTAATATTTGTAGTAACAGTAGTTGACAGACTGCCGTAGGGTGTGAAATTTCTATATTTTTTTCAAAGACCTATAATTTTCAAAACACATACATGAATTTTTTTTAAATATTTTTCTGATAGCTGTTATGACTTTACCTATCACCCGGTTTCGGCTTGACGTCGACTTCTGGGACACCCTGTATAAAAATTCTAAAAGATACCCGCTCATTAATGACGAAACCTCACATTTGGTAGAGAAGTAGTTTATATAGAAGGAATACCAGCTAAAAATGGATTTTGCAATCGGGCTAGAGTAAAGGGGTGTACGGCGGATATATGTAAAGGCGAAAAGATTCACATTAATTATGAAATTATTTGAGCTACCGACATGCATTTTGACAGGGAGGTAGATTAAGAACATGACATTTCAGCCACAAACGGATTTTCTGACAGGGTCTGAATAATGGATTGAAGGACACTTGTAAGTTTGTTTGAAATTGCTTTGAGTTTTGTAATGTCAAAGAATTGGCATCGATGAGGGTCTGTTTATAGTAGTCTTAAACTAAGAATGGATTGTGCAACTGGAAGTTTGGCAGAGAGATAGCTTTTACAATGTAAAGTTTAGTTTGATTTAAAACGCTGGTATCAAAAAATTGTCAATTTGTAACCTTTCCGCCACGCGTGTTTACCCCCTCCTCCCCCAGCTTGTGGGTGGCTCCATTAATAAGATAACCGAATTTCTAGAGCAAGCTAGTTGACTAAAAATTTACTAATGCAATGCAATCATATCATCATATAATAGTAACAATTTAATGCATACGAAGTCTCAGGTAACAGCTAGTAACTCCGTAGGAAGAGATTTTGAAAAGAAAGTCTCAATAATGCAAGGTAGAGCTGAATAGTACCTAAGGTCGTAGTTGCATAATGAAAACACAGGTCACCATCTGTGTTACTGAACTGGCCAATTAGTTGCTTGTCCACATCTTGCAATGCAGTACTATTAAAGATAATAAAGATTGCCCGCGTAAAACTCAATGCATTAGTTTGCGTAATGTTCCGAAAGGAGCTCTGAAATTACTCTGAATACAGTGCACTTTGAAAAATGTTGCAGCGGAGAAAGTTGTCCATGCTTCAGAAGCAAAAGTACTAGCAGTACCAGCGTTATTTAATGACCGTTATCAACAGACGATCTGAATTCGCTCAATAGTCGGTTATCTAACATCTCTCTGGATGGAATTTTGCTAGAACAATGAGGGGAATTATTATCTGTTATGGTTCGTCTCTTCAATTTGGCTCTGCTATCCGTCAATCATTTTCCGTACCATGTCATCAGAATTGCAAGGAAGTTGTCAACTGCAGTATACAGCTATATTTTGCAATAGACTGTGGCGAAGTCTTATGAACAAAATTCTAAGTGACTCTAGATTTGTATTTTTTGAGTGAGATCATATACAGTGTGATTAAATCCAAAAACAAAAAAGTGTCCATAAACATAGGTCCTAAGAAGTCTCATTACCAAGATCATGCGCTCCCATTAGTGAGAAGTAAAATATACCAAATAAGGTACCATTTCCTTAAGCATCGAGTGACGTTGTGTGTGTTTTTTTTTTATTTCAAAACATCTGCGAGAATTATTTTGCTAGATCTGAATTGTGGAGGTGTGCTTAGGCTTATAAAGAAAGAGACATGGACATTTCTGAAAAATAGTAACAATCTGAATGCAGTAGCTGAAAATAATGATGAATCAATTGTCCCTTGAAATAGAAAGTTGAAGTTTGCGTTTACAATCTATTTCTATCTATCAAGGTTGAAGTTTCTTACTAAAATCCGTCATTTTGATATAAAATTTTAGTATAGCGAGTGTAACTTGCGCTATCCAGACAAATTTAGAGAGGTCCCATATGCCAAAATCCATCATGCCTCTTAAGCGATAGCCCGCATAGAAAAGGAACTACAAATTAAAATTTTCGATAAAAATCCCCCATTTAAACTATCAATTTTAGTGTAGGGGAAACCCGTCTAAAGTGGATACCCCAGGCAAAGCGAATAGTCCCCACTACTTCCAAATTTTTCGTTGGCCGGCAGCCGCGCTGTCAAATCAAGAGTCGCCTGTTGCCGCTTAGTTCGCGGAAATCACTTTGGCGCGAATTTGCGTAGCATGCCGCCAAGCCGCCATTGAGTGGACAAAGTGTGTTTCTGTACCAGAAATATTAATTTACAGAGGTAAGTGTTTCGCTTATATCTATTATGTTTTTGGTGGCATGTTTTTGTTTATGCAGGGGATTCAATGCATGGTTATAGAGCTTTCAACTATGTGTAGTTGATGAACTTAGATAAACTGTTTTTTTTATGACCTGGCATAACCTCAAAGCTGTACCCGAAGGGCAAAGCGGATCGGGCAAGGCGGATACTGTATTCACTTTGCCCGGTCATGGCGTGTAATATAATTTCATACAATTTTATATTATATCAAGTATTTTTCTGTTACAGATGGTGAATAAATATAAAAAAAAGACGACGCAAGGTACTTGGAGTAGAGACGTTATGCAGACTGCAATAAATTTATGTAGGGCTGGAGAATCTATTAAAGGGACAGCCAACAAATATGGACTTGCGTATGCTACCCTTTACAGACATGTCAAAAGTGGAAACGCTTCCGCACAGCTCGGTCGATTTCGTCCTACATTCACGGAGGATCAAGAAATTGAACTGGTGACATACCTGCAAGATATGGACGCAGTTTTTTTTGGCCTTACTCGGGATGAATTCATGAGTCTAGCATTTGAGTATGCACACCGCAACAATTTGCGTTACCCTGAGAGTTGGAATAAAAATAAAAAAGCTGGAGAAGAATGGCTGCAAAGGTTTTTATCACGTCATACCAACTTGACACTAAGAACTCCAGAATCAACATCTGTAGCGAGGCTGAAAGGATTTAATCGCCGCGAAGTGAGCCATTTTTATGAAAATCTTGAATCTGCCATTGAGAAAAATAACATTGAAGCCTCCAGACTATACAATATGGACGAAACCGGAATATCAACGACCTCAAATAGGCCTCCAAAGGTTATCTCCGTAAAAGGGAAAAAACAAGTGGGTATGATTGCAAGTGCAGAACGCGGCCAATTGACAACCGTCATCGGGTGTTGTAATGCTGCTGGCAGTTTTCTTCCACCTTTCCTGATTTTTGCAAGAAAGAAGATGCAAGCAAGGCTTCTTGATGGTAGTCCTCCAGGGACTCAAGCAACGTGTACTCCTAATGGCTGGACATCAGGGGAAGTCTTCTTGAACTGGATCCATTTTTTCGTAGAGCAAGTGAGGCCAACAGCAGATAAAAAGGTTCTACTAATATTGGATAACCATGAAAGCCACAAATATTATCCTGCACTTGAGTATGCCACCAAGAATAACGTGGTAATATTATCCTTAGCACCGCATACTACAAACAAAATGCAACCTATGGATGTTGCTGTGTATGGCCCACTGAAAACGCATTTCGAAAGGGAAGTTAACATTTTCCAAAAATCTCACCCTGGCCGCATCATTAATCAGTACGATGTATCTAGATTGCTAGCACCAGCTTATCTCAAAGCTGCCGTGGCCATCAATGCAGTGCATGGATTTGAAAAACCTGGGATTTGGCCTGTAAACAAGCACGCATTTGGTGATGAGCATTTCACACCAGCCGAGGTACTTGCAGGTACATCCACTTTAAACAGTCAAGCTGGAACTTTGGCCCCAATAGAAAGCATTGATTTACCCGAGTCCGCTGTTGAAGCGTTACCTTCGATTGAACCTCAAGATCAGCCCATATCACCTTCATTTGCAAATGCCACTCAACATTCTCATTCATTCATAAACCCTATTGAAGGAGAAACCTTACAGACTATAGAATCTGTTAGTTCTTTACCTATTGCGTCATCAGGTGAAGTTGTTGCTTTAGGTGATTTTCAGTCTCAAGACGAAGTAAATATATATATTGAAGATCGACCGTGCACTCCTATTAGATCTGAAACTAAAAAAGAAAGCTATGGCAATACTGTTCCCGCCGCTTCACCCGAACCTGGATGTTCTAAGACCTACTATAGTCCTTCAGTTTTGAGACCTATTCCTCAGCCTGCTAGACCAACAACAACACGTAAACGGAGGTTACAAAGATCTAGTATACTGACGAGTACTCCAGTAAAAGAAGAGCAGAAACAGAAATTTGAAAAAGGAAAAAAGCCTGCTATGAAGCCACTAGATGATGTTTCGACGAAAACTTCTCTGAAGACTGGTAACAAAAAAACTGTTAAATCTAAAATCACTGATAAAAAAGCAAAGAGGAGTGCAAAAGAAAATGGAAATCAGAAAAAAATACGGAAATTTGATGATGTCAGCTGCATTTTCTGTGGTGAAATGTACATTGAAGAAGATGATCAGCCAACGGAAAACTGGATACAATGTAGTATTTGTACTCAATGGTGCCATGAAGAGTGCTCAGCCTTCGAAGGCAGTGACGATTTTGTTTGCGATAACTGCAAAAATTAGAAACATGTTATTTTAAATATTTTTTCCTGATTTTCAAGGTTTATTTCCTTTGTAAGTTTAATTTCAAGCCAAATAATGTTGCTATTCGCTTTGCCCTGGTATCATATTCACTTTACCCGGAATCCCGGGCAAGGTGGATAGTTAGTCACTCTTGTTAATTCGATTAATAACTTTTAATTTAATTAATATTTAGGAAGAATCTTATACAATTCCGTTAGTCCTTTAAATAAAGACTGCTTATAAATATTTGTTTTAATTTCCCCGGTTATAACTAATCTACAATAACCAAAAACAGCTTAAGGTATTCACTTTGCCCGGGTTTCCCCTATACCCAATTTCACTCGTACTGTCCAGAGAAATCTAGAAGCAAAGTACTTGAATGGCTAGCTAGGATGCAAAGTACTAGTTTTCGGGGTGCAGCCAAAGGCAAATGAAATCAAGCCAGAAAGAACGTGATTCTTTATTAAGTCAAGCTTTCGAAAATGTATATTTAACTCATCGAAAAAATCTAGGGATGTGTCCCATTTGTCTTCAGCTCCAAAGTTTAAATTTTCGATTAAGATCCGCCATTTTGATTACATAATGCTTTATTTTACCGAGTGTTACTCGCGCTGTCAAGACAAATCAATCTAGGTATACCTTCTATAATAATAATAATAATAATAATAATTTATTGGTGCTATTACACAGAAATGTGATTGCACCAGTCAGCTAAAGTATATAAAACATAAAAGAGTATGTAAAAATAACTCACAATACGTAAATGAAACAAGCATAAAACACAAGGTGGCAATAAAGAGTTAATAAGATTAAAGTTAAGATTTAGATCCATAATAAATAGAGTTGGTTGACACCGCGGCGGCTATGATTTTGTTAATCCGATTTTGGAAATGCCTAAGCTTAGTGGAACTGGGAAAAGCTTCCTCTTGTAGATTGTTCCACAATCTTGATACCCTCGGGACTGAGGAGCGGTCGTATCGGCCAGTTCTGGATGTACGAAGTTCGACACGATTAGGATGAGAGGCCAAGGTAAGGCGGGTCTGTCTGGCAGGCACATCGCGCGGCGGTATCATGGAAGAGAGGTCTGACGAGCAAAGCCCGTTGGTGTAGCGGTAGAAGAGAGCTAGATCGCCGATGGCTCACCGGTGCTAAAGGGTCCCGAGAATGTCTGTTGTTAGAGAAAAGTCATCGATCAGTCGGACATTCCCCTTCTGGACAGCATCGAGCGTAAATAATGTAGTTGGGGCGGCAGCACCCCAAACGTGTGAGCAATACTCGAGGCTAGGCCATTTATAGAGTGAGGTCATGCGGAGAAAAGCACTTCTTAACCCTAAATAAATACCCTAGCTTTTTCCCAGCAGCTGCAGCTATTGACGAGATGTGTTCGTGCCAGATCAGGTCCTCGGTGATCTGGACTCCGACCAGCCGAAATGAATGACTCGTTGGCAGAACTCGGCCATCTAACGTTTTTTGTTCGTCAAGGTACAGTACTGTGTTTTGGAAGCATTAAACTGTACAAGATTGTTGCGTCCTTAAGCAGTGATAACCTCCAGGTCTCTCGTTAGAGAGGAAATCGTCGCTAGACTTCTTTTTTCCACCTCAGCGGCAGAGATAGGCTTGTCACTTTGAATTCCTGTATGTAGAGTGCTGTCATCAGCGAAAAAATCTAATATTTTTGTTGTAAAAAAAACATCCTGTATATCTTGTCATGTATTAAGCATGCGTGCAAATTGATTCTTACGCAGGTCAAGCATAATCCTGATTTACGTATAAAAACATTAGAATTTAACGTTTCCCACGATTGTCTCGCACATTTATATAATCGTCACATGCGATGCAGTAAGACAAGATGCAATTAGACGTTGCGGTTGAGAATAACGCCTAGATTTTTTCACTGAAAGTAGATCACGGTTTTCATGGGCTCAAAAAGGTAACAACATTTACCACTCGTCGATCAAGTTGCTTTAAGAGCATGTTAGGAATGTGGTTGTATTTCATTCATACCGATTACGGGTCATAGTGTTTCGACATTTTTCTGTGTATGCCTCTAGAGTAGTAAACTGTCGAAAAGAAGAGCCTACGGCATACGCCATTCACATGATATGCTCAATTTTAAGCCCAAATTCAACCTACGATGGTCTGGTCTGGTCTGGAATTTTTTGATGGTCGCCACGGATAACGAAAATATAATTTTTGTACTTTCAACTCGTATAGTGTATGAGAGAAAAATTGGAACACCCTTGTGCATTTATGTCATTTGAACAAAAGCTCGTTTCCGGGGCGACTTCAATTCGCAAAATCTGAAACCGATGCCAGAACCATTAGAAAGTCCTAGGTGGCTATAGTTCTCCTGAAATATACGTTAGAAGTTTATGATGACAAGCGCTCCGAATTTCTCAAGTTTCGGTCACTTACGAGACATAGATTATATCAAAATTTTCATAACTGTGACCACATAATCTCATATGCCGTCTGGAGGTCAAGTTTATAAATTGAAATTGCAACCATTTTTGGCAGCAGATTCGTGTAGACCGAGAGATTCTACCTCAGGTCAAGTGATCATACCTGATGTAATCAGTATGACTTGCTATGAAAGTCTGAAAAGTACACGAAAATTCAAAACCTAACCTTTTTGAAAAAACCTTCAACAAAAGTTTCAGAACACAAAACAAGCAATTTTTCTTTACAAAGGTTTTAGAGGCCATTTAGACGTCAGCTTTCTAAAATCAAATCCCAATCAGCATTTTTCACACAAGCTACTTGTGTACAGATAGAGATTCTGCATCAGTGTGCATTTTTAAACATCAGGTGAAGATATCATAAGTGGTCTAAATTGTATGACCCACTGTAACATCTGAAAAGTATGCGAATACCATGAGAACTTTATAACTATGTACGAGTATTGTTTTGTACCTAAATAATGACTTTTAAAATCATTTGGAGTTTATAATTTCAAAAAGGAAACTACATTTTTAGCAGCAGATTCTTGTGAGTTTGAGAGTATATATTAGTTTGCATTTTTCATAACAGCATATAAAAAATTGTAGCTGATATTTGAATGTACAATCTTGGCCCTCAGATGATCCCTGGGCATCATCTAAATCAAGGTTAAGGCGGCTCCGACGCAGTGAGTTTCAGGCCATTTACAAGGGTTTAGCTGCTTCGGAATTGACGCTCCATTTTTCTATATATTTGAATAAAATTTATACAGTATGTTCAGAACACAATTGTCCAGGGTGCTATAGAGCCACTTTTCTAAAAAAAATTTTTTTCAGGAGTTATGGTGGCTGGAAGTGCAGATAATTGTTGTTCGACTTCTCGATTTTTTTAAAAATAACCCAGAGGAAAAAACGAAAAAGTGGCTCTATAGCACCCTGTGGAGTCTTGTTTTTAGTGCACTGTGAAAATTTCATTGAAAAATATTCAAAAATGAAGCGTCAATTTTGAAGCGCGAAAACCTCTGCAAATAGGCTTTTACACGAATTTTATCCACTATCTCGTGCTGCCAGTCGAAGCAACGCGGCGGTGTGTACGGACTAAGAAAGGACGTATTCAGATAATTTGTTGTCCCAAGTTAAACAGCAGCAGTTTTAACGCCGGTCGTTCGAGATAAACATCGGACCAGTAAGTGATATTTTTAATAGACTTCAATGAAAGAGGGGAAATTTTTAATCGATTTTGATCATTTCTTTTTATACAATAGGCCATGCTTCAGAGGTGATACCACAAAAAATTATTTTTGTTCAATCACCCCAATATGGATATCAAATGGACGCACTTGTACAAAACAGTAATACGAAAACAGTTTCAAATCAAGATGGCGGCCGTTACAAAATGGCGGATAACATACTTGCTAGTATCTCAAATAAGAGTCGTCGCCTTGTAGAATACAGTACTTCACTAAAAATTTGATTCCAAGATTGCCGCCGTTTCGAAATTGCGAGTTACATATTTTTGTACAAAACCCCCAATTTACATATCAAATGAAAAGACTTGACATGTGTGGTAAAATACAGAACTTTGTGACCAAAAGTTTCCAGGTGGTTCCAGAGTCATTGGAGGCGGTAATCTTTTTAGTTAAAAATAATAATTATAGTGAACGCATTTAACACAAATAAAATGTCACTTGCTGTTTAGCTTTAACCTTATGGAGTATCGTAAAATAAACTTAACACGATAAGCGTCATGAGATATAATGCGTGTGTCGCACCTCATTTCGCGCTTTGGGCCTCGTGACACACATGATATGTCTCACTGCTGGCAGTTATATTTGGCCGCGTAACGTAAGACGTGTGCCATGCTGATGTGATTTTCTTACGGGAACCAAGAGTCCGTGGCCTGAGGGACCAAATTATACTGAATTGGAAATGAAAACATTAAAAAACACGTTGTTTATAGAGTTTTACAAAAAGAGGATATTCTACAAATCTAAAACAAAAAGCAAATCTTATAAAATAATCAGACATTCTCATTCAAAAATGAACAAAGTAATTTCACAGCAAATCAGTAAGTTATGGTAAATGTCGATATTCTAACACCAATATGGAGGAACTCTTATAAACTAAACAGATTGACACAATCTTATGCAGGAATAAAGAAAATACCGGTATAAATAAACAGTAATACAGATAAATATGGAATTACTACAACTACTATCTGATTCACTACCACTTGGAGAATACGCATCAGATAAGTATACATCCCCGCATAACTCAGTACTGCCACTCTCTTCATCCGATAGTATTTCATTACACAATTGTTCAAGCCTTTTTTGTTCCGCTTCGTAATGCGACATCACAAATTTGGTATTCAATAATTTATAAACAGTAAAGCAATTTGGACAAGATGACGTACAATACCAACAACGCTTCAATAATAAATGACACGAAACAGTGCTCAACGCGCGACATGATGCAAGTCTTGACTTGCAAAAAACGCGACGCGACTGATGTGCCACGCGACCCGACTGGTCTGTGGGCCACGCGACATACAACTAGTAC